TAGGAGTGGATAGCAGGGGCCTTTGGAAAGGACAGGACATGCTGAGATTGGTGCTTTGGAAAGATTCAGGTTGTTGAGTGGAGAATAGATTGTAGAGAAGTGGTTTGGAAAACAGGGAGACTGTTGGAGTTGTCCCAGTGAGAGGTGATAAGTGTCTGAATTGGGGATGTGCAGTAGGAGGGCAGAGGGGTGTGCAAATCTGAGGGGCCATCCAGAAGTAGAATTTGATGGGATTTAAAACCAAAGGCATGGGGCTTGAGGGAGAAGGAGGAGTCTGGATTGCCTGGGAAGAGGGAGGTGCCATCACAGAGGCAGGGGGCTGGAGGCTAGTGGTGGGGAAGCTAAGGTCACATCCAAAGGGCAGGATAAGCAAAGCAAGCATTGCCAGGGCTAGAGGGTTTGACTCCAGCCTTACCAAGGATGCTGTGAAGGTCATTGCCCCTTAAATACTAGCAAACCCACGCTTTAAATTAAATTAAAGCACTTTTAGTTTAGTTCCGCTAAGTGGACCCACACATGTATTCTCTACTAGTTATTACTGAGAATGACTAAGTATTATAATTGAGCTGAAAATAATCTGCCGCCCATACTTGCTGGGTTGGTTACTAAGTATTGCTTGGGTTTTTAAGCAACGAAACAAAGTTGTGCTCTTTCCAAATGTTAATTTTTGAGGACTCCAGATGGTGACCATCTGTTCCACGACTAGCATTTTACAATATTTGATTACTACTTTATATAGTTTGGGAAAACCTGCCAAGGGAGTCTGCCCATCAGGCTGGGGGCTTTGGTGGTATGTTCTCTGCGGTTGCCCTTGAAGGTCTTGGCCACCATTCCGTGGTGTTCCCCATGATCTATTGAGCTAAGGGGTGGCTGGTCAGACTGGCAAATTGGCGATTCATAGCAGGAGGAACGTGAGAAGCCCTGTCCTGTTCAGACTCTTCCTTAGAACTGGAAGCATCAGAAGCTCATCAGGGAAGATTCGAAACTACCTTCAGGTAGGTGGTTTTAGGGCTCAGGTGAATCCTTTGGGCCTGGTTTCTCTTGGAGTCTCAGCTCTGCCGTCTGCTCTGTGGCTGCGGCCCCAGGCCTCACAAGGAGGCAAGATGGCTTCACTGAGAGACAGATCCTCTCAGCCTCAAGTCTAGTGGGAAAGAGCTGGAGTCCTTTTGGTCAGTTCTGTGGTGGTGTTGAGATGTACTCTGGTCAGCCCCGCTTTTGTCACATGTCCATCTCTGTAGCAATCCCTGTGCCCACGTGAATGCTGGGCTCTGATTGGTCAGGCCAGGGGTGGAGTCCCACTCACCTGGGGGCGGAGGGTGTGGCAGGAGTTTACCCCAAATCGCACATTAGGGCTGTTACCAGAGAGGAGAATAGATGAGGAGGGGGCAGACAACCACCTTTCCACACCAGTGTCAGAGTAAGCGCCCGGGGAACCAGGAGGAACTGGCTAACTCAGCTGCGGAGACACATTTATTGTTGCCAGGAAGATAATGTGTTGGAAATAGAATGAAGAAGCCTCGGAAACCACTTACTTCATCCGTTTCCTTTCTTAGTTTAGGACACCAGATAGATTTGAGGTTCTGGTTCTTTCTTTTATTGCAAGGACATGGTGGGGGAGAGAAGTTGTCTTTCTTTTATGTTCCTTAAAACTGAGACCAGTCACCTCATGTCTTTTAGCTTCTTCTGGAACACAGGGCTTCTTCACAGAGGGGACGTCTGTAGAGGAGGTAACAGGTTCATGCAGTTCCGTGAGCAGGCAGTGAGTGGAGCCCACTGTGAGACATGCTCAGCCAAGGGCCAGCCACAGGCACCGCAGCAGACGAGACGCTGGCGGGATGAGAGTGGCTGTTGTACCACCACAAATCAGGCACTGCAGCTCCACCGAGGACAGAGTGATTCCCTTTGTCCCCAGGGAGGGGCAGTCAGGAAGGGCCTCCTGGAGGAAATCCACTGAGCTGGACTTGGACCGATGAAGGAGCTTCCCCACATGGAAGAAGTGGGGAAGGGAGCTCCCCAATTAGGGAGCTGCATGTGCACAGGCACCAGAGGTGGCATCCTTGATGGTTTGGGGGACCTGGGAGAAGTTCGTATGGCTGACTGGGATGTGTCCAGGACATTGGTTACAGAGCTCATTTAGTGTTAGTGTAGAGGAGACGAGTGACAGGCTGGGGCAGGGGCACCAGGCAGGTTTCAGGCAGGAGTCTTAGGCAGGAGCTGGTAGGGCAGTGAGCACACAGGGGCACTTAATGAAAGCTTAGCAAGTCCATGTGTTCTAGAGTCTAGATTGAAAATGATCTATGTTGTCATAGTTTCCTTAAACAGAAGAAAAAGAGATCAGGCTGGAGTTGTGAGTTCTTTGGAGAGAGCCTTGATACAGAGTTAAAAATACGGGCTTTGCAGACACAAGAGATCATGCTGTATAATTCCACTTACACAAAACTCTAGAAAATGCAAACGCTTATATAGTGACAGAAAGCAGAGCAGTGGTTGCTTGGGGATGGGCAAGTGCGGAGGGCAGAAGGGCGGGATTACAAAGAGGCGTGCGGTGACCTGGGGGTGCTGGATACGTCCACTCCCTTGATGATGGTGATGGTTTCTGAGGTGTGTACATACGCTAGAACCTCTCACTTGTACACTTTAAATATGTACAGTTGGTTGTGTGTCGGCTATACCTCAATAAAGTGGTTTGGTTGTTTGAAGTCTCTGGAGCCAGACTTCCCGTGTTCAAATCCCGGCTCTGCCTGATCAGCTGGGTGATCTTAGGCACATTCCCAGACCTCTTTGTGCATACTTTCCTCACGTATGCACTAATCACATAGAACATGACAGAACAAACAGGTGCTTGTTGTTCTTACTAATAACACACAGCACAGCGAAATCATGGCCCAGGCTCTGGGTGTACTGTAGCCACTGAGTGCAGCTGGTTCTTTATGCAGAGGCCCCTGGAATGGTGCTGCTGGAGCCTCAGTGTGCATGCAGATGTCGGGGACACCCTGTTAAGGTGCAGGTTTGGGCTAGTAGGTCTGTGTTGGGGCCTGAGACGCGGCATTCCCATGAGCTTCTGGGGATGTCAGTTTTGCTGGTCCTGGACCATACTCTGAGTAGCAAGGCGCAGACCTGTGGGAGTTCTCCCCTCTGTTGCCTGGTGCCCTCACCAGAGTGTGCCTGGCTGACATCAGTTAGAGCTGCTTTCTCAGGATTGCCCTTCAGGGCCTTCCTGCTCTGCCTTATCGCCTCTGCTCTGCCCATCAGGGACGCCGCCTCGCTCACCATCCCAAGTTGGGTTCCAGAGAGAGGACGCCAGGGAGGAGGCTGGGTGTCTCCTTCCATGCTTGCCTTTGGTCTTTGTGGGCCTGCCCTGGGTGGAGAGTGCAGGCTACGTGGGGTGGGGCTTGAGGGGAACCCAGCTTCTGCTCTGTGTCCAGCCTGCTTCATGGGACTGGGGCCTGGGGGCAGGGCTGAGTGTAGAACTTGGCTTGATGCCTTAGGAGTGATGCTCTGTGTTTTCCAGGGACAGAGGGTCTTGCGAATGGCCCCACTGCCGGGGGCAGAGCTGGTCCGGAGGCCGCTGCAGCTCTACCGATACTTGCTGCGCTGCTGCCGGCAGCTGCCGACCAAGGGCGTCCAGGAGCATTACAGACATGCTGTCAGGCAGGTGGGAGCAGGGCTCTGCACTGGGGGCCTGACGCTAACAGAGGCCTCAGTGTGGGGAGCCATGGAGGCCAGGGTACAGGGTAGTCTTCAGGCGGTGGTGGTGGGGTAGCAGTTTGGTAAGAGCCAAAGGAAACCAGTGCTAGGCAGTCCAGCTCCTCTCTGTCCTGAAAATGGAGTGTATCAGGGCATGGGTGAGGCAGCTGAATGGAGGATTAGGCTAGAGTGTAGGACAACACGGTTCTGACAGGCCTCCCCACCAGCAGTGCACAACCTGAATGTCATCATGAAAAAACATGAGGTGAACCCAAACTGAGGGACCATCTATCACAGCTGCCCGGCCTGGACTCACCAAAAATGTCAATGTCTCGAAACACAGAGGCAGAACTGTTCTGGATTGAAGGGGACTAAAAAGACGTGACAACTAAATATAACACATGATCCCAGATTGGATCCTGGACCAGCAAAAAACGTTACTGTGAAGGACATTCTTGGGGCAATGCATGACATTGGAATATGGATTGTAGATTAGATGATAGTGTTGTATCAATGCTAAATTTTCTGAATTTGATTACTGTGGTTATGTAAGAGAATGCCCTTTTCATTAGCAAGTGCACAGTGGAATGTGTAGGGGGGAGGGCACAATGTCTGTGACTTAACTCTTAAATGCTTCTGAAAAAAGCTTATGTATACACAAACAACTATAAACTCAGTGTGGCAAATGATAACAACTGGCGATTCTGGTAGGGAATCCTTTGTATTCTTGCAACTTTAAGTTAGGAATCCTTTCCAAAGAAAAAGTTAAAAACTAAAATTCATACAAATGTAAGGTGAAAAGTAAAAAAGTAGAGGTAGGCCCAGAGGGCTGCGGAAACATGGAGCCTGGAGCTGAGAGCAGTGAGCTGGTTGGTGTTGAGCTGGTTCCTAAAGGTGGGGAGGGGGCTGGGTAGGATTGGGAGTGACAGGTCTGGGAAGTGCTGGTTCTTTTTGAAGGGCCCTGAGCACCACTCCCTTGAAGGGCCCTGAGCACCACTCCAGTAAACTGCATCTCCGGCCGCTTCTCAAGGGTGGACATCTGGTTAGGAGCTCACAGCAGCACCCCTCTGCACTGGCTCTGGCTGGATTTCCCACAGCCACCCCCTCACTGCATCTCTTCCTTTCCCTGTTGGTTTTCCACGCTGGGCCAAAGAGGCCTCTTCCCCCCAGCTGCAGGGTCCAAGCAGAGGTCTCACAGGGGCCAAAGCAGCTTCCTCTGAGGAGCAAACTAAACAGGGATTGGTGTTTCTCCTTGGACCCTGCTGCCTCATAGCTTTGGGCCCAGCTTCACTGGGGGGAGTTTGGGGGTCAGTCTTCCTTTTGTAACTGTCCTGCTGTCCGGAGTATGAGCTTTGCAGTCAAAAAGACTGTAAAATAGGATCCAAATGCCAATCCTTAGCAGCAAGTTACGATTTCTGAGCCTCAGTTTTCTTATCTTTAAAAGTGCAATAATCGTAATGAAGAGAGATGCTGAGTTAAAGCCCAGGGACGTACCTGGCCCGGGAGCAATACTCAGAAGCTGCTCGTCCTGGGAATTTTGCTGAGTCGTCTTTCCTTGTGCTTAAACTTTTAGAGTTTCCGGGTTCATTCAGATGAAGACAACCCTGAGAGAATCCAGCAGATCATTAAGAGAGCCATTGAAGATGCTGACTGGATCATGAACAAAGTAGGTTCTTGCTGGCTCCACCTGCGTGGTGGGGTGAGACTGCTGTGACTCTCCGTAACCACTAGGGGCCGCCCCTGCCCTACAGTTGAGAGTGTGCTGAGGCAGTGCCCAGCCCACCGGCCCCTCCTCCAGAAGCTCAGATCCTTCTGGTTGCGTTTATTTTCTGCAAGGTGGAAGGCTGGTGGTGTCACCTTTCATTCTTAAAGGTGAATTTCTGCCTAACGGCGCTGAATAAGCTGAGAAGGGAGGGAAGGGATGCAGTAGTGAAAGCTGGCAGCAGCACTGTGACGTCTCAGAGAGGAGGGCTGTCTTGGGGGGGTGAGCGCCCTGCCTCAGGGGGTATTCATCCTGGGGTAGAAATAGGAGGAAATACTCAAGGATCTGTTTTTGCGGAGGGAGGAAGTCAGGAATGTAGACTGGCTTCTTGATCCTTATGAGGACCTAGCAAGCTAGAGGATGCCCCACCTCTCTGTCCTCACTCAGACTCCACATCTGGGGCCCAGGGTCTAATTTTTAAACTCAGTAATGGGACTAGCTGGCTTCTGAGGGTCTTCCTCTTCCTGACATTATTTTTCCTCCAAACAAGCCTCACAGAGAAGGGCGGGTGCCTCCAGTTTCAATTCGACTGTCTCCAGTTTCTGTTTCTTTTTCTTTTTTTGAGGTGAGGTCTTGCTGTGTTGCCCAGGCTGGTCTCACTCGTTGGCTCAAGTGATCTTCCTGCCTATCTCCTGAGTAGTTGGGATTACAGGTCTGAGCCACTGTGCTCAGCTAATGTCCTCAGTTTTCTTATCATCCTCCCTCTCCACCCCATCAGTTTCCTTTTTTTAAAGGAAAGACTGGACTCCCTTCCTTCTTAAAGAAGAAAGGGAGTCCAGGTGTGAACTGAGATTTGACTTGTCAGGGGCTCCTGACTGCGCTTCACCACCTCTGAGAAGCCCCTGCAGGAGGCAGGTGAGGCCCAGATGATGACGAAGACTCCAGATTTCACCAGAGTCCTACCCCCATTGGCTTCCCTCCCCGGCTTCTTTATTTTATTTTATTTTATTTTTGAAACAGAGTCTCACTTTGTCACCCTCATAGAGTGCTGTGGCATCACAGCTCACAGCAACCTCAAACTCATGGGCATATGTGATTCTCTTGCCTCAGCCTCCCAGTTACCTGGGACTACAGGCGCCTGCCACAATGCCTGGCTATTTTTTGTTGCAGTTGTCATTGTGTAGCTGGCCTGGGTAGGGATCGAACCTGCCACCCTTGGTGTATGTGGCTGTGCCATAACCACTGTGCATGGGTACTGAGCCCTCCCCCACTTCTAATCTCTCTGTCTTGCAGTATAAAAAACAAAACTGAGACTCCGAGGCCCAGCGAGTGAAGCCATCCTGAACACATTTGAAGCTGAAGACCTCTCTTCTTCTGGAACTCGGCAGCAGCAGCAGTTTTGAAATAGTCATCGGCCTCGTCAGCTGAAAGAGCGAAATATCAGGGGAGGGAGAAGCGGACTTTGCTCAGACGATTCTCCTCGCCGCAGTCATGTTTCCAGCATCCTTTATGTTTGCTCTTCCAGCCAGTCACGATGTGAAATTGGGGGAGAATATGGTGTTTTTTTGTTTTTTTAGTGTGTTTTTTGTTTTCGTTTTTTTGTTTTTTTACTTTGCTCTGAAAGTGATTCATTTATTCTGGAGATCTCTTTACCACTCTCTGAATCCCAATGTAGACATTCCCTCAGGTGGCAGCCTGTACCGAAGAAAGAGGATGGGGCTTAGAACCAGACAGATCTGGATTTAACCCCCCCCTTCCCCCCGTGGCTTTTCACAAGTATTGCCTTTGAGCTCCGTTTCCTCTTTGGGAGGATCAAATGAGATGGAGTTGAAGTGCCTCACACAGGGACGGTACAGGAGAGCACAGTCAGTGTCCCCTCTGAGGAAGCCGCCCATGCTGCCCCTCCTCTGCCCCAGCACACAGCAGCTCGGGTCGTGGCCATTTGTTTATAGCTTGCTCTGTCCCGCTTGTGGCCCCTGAGCCCTCATTGCTGTACAGTGCCTAATCTGCCAAAGATCTGTTTTTTCTGGCTCCCATCACTCCATGCCCAGGCAGTACTTGCCTTCAAGGAATTTGTAGTGTTCTTGAGTTTATAGTGTCCCTGAGGTGGTGAAACATGCATGACATGGACAGGGAAGAGGGCCAGAGCAGGGGCAACAGACACTGGCGGGTTCAGCGTCTGTGGACCTGTGACCGGCCCTTCCCTGTGTTGCCACCATCGCTGAAGAACAGAAGGGAGGGAAGGAGGGCAGGCTCGGGGAGAACTGGCCCCAGTGGATAGGGCAGCCAGAGATACAAAGAGAAGGCGCACAGGGGCTTGGGTGTTCCCCAGGGGCGCTTGGCCAGAGAGATAAGCCAGCGTGTGTTTGTGTCCTTGCAATTATGTGACTCCAGTGACTCAGATACCTCTATATGTTCACGTGTATGCAGCTAACAATGAAGTAAACGTACCAGTTTGTGAAAGCTCGTGTCTCTTCTCATCCGGCATGCCGTTCATTCCTAATCACGTCACCCCGGTACTGTGCTGTCATACCAGCTGCTGGGAACTTGGAGGGGAATCAGATACAAAGCTGCCCAGGAGGGATTGTTCTTCAGAGATGACCAGGCACCTCTCCCTCTGTTAAGCAACAACTGAGGAGGTCAGATTTGTCCCATCAGGGTGAGGGCAAGTTGAGGGGTTTCAGGCCAGACCAAAACAGCTAGTTCTTCATCCCCACCCTCCGCCCCTCGGCAGTCAGGGCAGCCCACCCTCGGGTGGCAGGTGTGTAGTGATCCCAGAGTGGAGTTGGTTATGCCAGGCCTGTCAGGAGAGAGAGGAGTCATGAGTAAAGGCAGGTTAGGGCTTGGGAAAGAGTTGGTGGCCTTTGTTCTTGACTAGTCCCCAGGGGTGGTTCCATGATCTTTAGTTGATTGATAGGTGCTTGATCAGTTGTGCTGACCCACTAGGTGTCAAGACAATGGGGTTCCCAGCTCTGGAGTGAGGTTAGCTTGTGAGGGAACCACCCAGGGGTGGGGTTGGCTGACAGTGTGTTCGCTGCTTCCCACCAGTCCCTGTGAAGCTACATTGGGGTCCCAAAGTGGGGGGGGGGGGCAGGATCCACACAGCAGGGACAGAGAGGTGACGGGGCACTGCTTGAGGCCTGAGAGAGCCTGTGCTGTCCTGTGCTCTACCCTCGGGCTTCCAGCCCTGGAGCCCTGCAAGGATTGTGTGGATGGTAGGCCGCAGCTGTTAAATGCACAGTTGAAGGTTTACAAAGTAACCTCCCCAAATTTGAAGGAAATGAAAGCTTCTTGACCTGGAGTCAGGCAGCATGGCATGACAGAAGGTGCTCTGGGGCCAGACCTCAATTTACATTCCAGCTTCGTGGCTTGGTGTGATTTGGGGTGGCATCATTAACCTGTCAACTTCATTTTCTTCACTGGGATAGGTTGTGCATCCTTCAGCTGATGAGATTAAGGCAGGGCACACAGATGGGCTGTCAGCTATGCTGCCTCCTCCCCTGTCTGTGGATTACCTAGTCATGACCCTTCTCTTTAGGTAGGTCACGTCCTCTCCGTGGAGTCCACTGTACAAGCCCAGTGTCAGCAGGAAAGGATCTGATAACCCGCTGTCTACACCTTTGCTGGTGACCTCTTTGTACTCATGTTGCCTTTCTGGGGTGCATTTAATTTATAAAAGCAAGAAGAAGCATCTGTTGCTAGAACACTCAGGCCCCCTTTGAGAGACACTGCCACTCCTGGAGGCCGATTCCTGGGGCAGTGTTAGTCTTTAGTCCTGCCACCAGCATGCGCTCCCTAGGACACAGTCTGCCCTGCCTGTTGTTTCCTGCCGCGGCACCCACCCCCATTTTTAGTGAGCCCTTGCTGTCTGCATAGTCCTTCCTCTAAGGCAGTGGTTCTCAACCTTCCTGAAGCCGCAACCCTTTAATACAGTTCCTGTGGGTTGCGACCCACAGGTTGAGAATCACTGCTCTAAGGACTGTGAGGAAGGAGCTCACGGTCTAGGGAAAGGTGGATGCAGGTTGCTGGAAGGCTGAGCAATCGTGGCTTGTAGGGTGTTATCATAAAATAGATTTCTCTTTTTCTCCCAGTACTCCTTTACATTTTTCCTGGAGGTTTTCGTTCTCCCTGTCCCAAGATGAAAACTGGGACAAGCCTCAAAATTTCCTGCTAACCTTAGGTTTAAAAGCCTCAAAGCTGGGGTTTAATTTTAAGTCCCCAAACAGACTCAATTCATGTAAGTGAAATGTCCCGTCCAGGTGAAATAAAATTTCAGAAGTTGAATTAAGTTCAGGCATCTCCTGTCTGCCAGCTGGGATCTTTGCGAACTCGGGGAGCAGCATTCCAGGCAGAGGAGCAGTTTGAGCAAAGGCACAATAAAGCATCTGTTCCGGGATTCCCATGCTGCTCAGTGCGGTTGAGACACTGTGGTGGGTGGACGAGGTGAGGCAGGAACGGGCCACGAGAACCCAATCCTACAGTGCCTTGCAGGTCTCGCTAAGGAGCTTGGAACTTCTCCGGGGAGGTGATCTTGTAATCGTTGCTTTCTGTAATTTTCTCCCCAACCTGACAGCGGACCCCTTGAGGTCAGGAACCACGCGTTGGTCTTTGTAGAATCCTCTGGGCCAGTTATGTGCCTGCTGCCCAGGCAGTGAGCCTGAAATGTTGACTGAATGAAAGAATGGGAATAGCAGGCAATCTGTGGTGTCTCTCTCTCTTGTGTGTGTGTGTGTTTGAGGGAGAGAGGGGAAGATTGAGAGGTGATGATTATTTCTTAGCTAAGTTGTCTCATCACTGATGCTTGGCAGTTGATTAGAGTCAAGACCGCTTACCTGGTACTGCTACCCCCCCCCCAAACTTCTTTGGGAAGTTTGTCTCAATGCAGAGATTCTCCCCCAAAGCCGAGGTTACCAAACTTTCTCCTAGCTTCCCGAAATGAATCTGTCCCTCTGTCCGTCTTGCCTCCCTAAGAGGACATAACAAACAAAACAACCCCCCTTTGTACAATGTTGGGGGAGGCTTGGCAGGTTGGAATGCCTAAGAACAGGTGCTAGAATCCGAGTCAGGTTTCTCTGAGTCACCAGTGTCTGTACTTCTACTTGAGGAAGACTGAGACTTCCTGACTGACGCTAACGTGATACGGAGACAGGAGCAACTTTGGAGACAGCGAATCCTTTCCCGCCAGCATCCAGGGAGGTCCCACATTCTCTAGAGCTTTAAGCAACGAGTGCAGAAGAGGAGGCTTCCTCAGGCCTCTGAAGCTGCCTAGAGGTCATAACCTTAAAGTTGGCTAAGCCTACCAGCCCCTATGCTCCTAGCCTAAAGCGGTCTCCAATCACCGGTCTCACACATTCCCACTCCCACACTGATGTGGGCATTCCTTTACCCATATCCCTGTTAACCTCCCTTACCAGGTGCATATGTCCTCTGGCACCCTTGTTCCTTTGCAAATAGCTTCCTCATTCTCCCAGCTTCCCCACCTGTTCCTTCCATGTATATTTGCCTGGATTCCTCTTCCTGCCTGGAACGCACTTTTTGTATCAACCTTATTCACTTGGTAAACACCCATGTCTCTGTCAAGACTTGAGTGTAGACATTACCTCCACTATAAAGGTGTTCATTTCTTCCTCTAGTGATGTATCTTCCAAGATATAGATTTTTTTCATGTGAACTTCCAAATACAAACTAATCAGATGGCAGGCTCTTTAAAAAATGAACACAATCCAGTTAATGAAGACATGGTATTAAGAAGAAGGAACATGAAAATTCCTTTTGTATTCTGCTTTATCCCGATTGCATCTCCAAGAGTGATTTTTCAAGTATGGGTCTATGGACTCCTGGGGCTCCCCAAAGCCTTTTCAAGGGGGTCCCCAAAGCCAACTGTTTTCTACTATGTGAAC